CTGCTCCCACCCCAGCTGCTCCCACCCCAGCTGCTCCCACCCCAGCTGATTCCAGCACACGCACGGCTCTACTTGCTGAGGAATACCTACCATCTGGACTACGTGTCCTAAGCCGTGCGGAACGGCGCACGGCTATCCTCACCGGTCAACAAATCCGGCAAATTGCATACTTTGCGTACAGTGTACGCGGCCAATTCCACACTGTCTGGACAACCGAAGGGATGTTGCGGTCCCAATATAGGGCCTATGCGGAAGGGTTGCCTCCCGGTATTCGCAGGTCAAACTTGCCCCGTCCTCCTCGTGGCAGTCGCCGGGAATAGGCCAGTTAACTATGGTGGTCATTTGCTTTTTGTTTTTTCCTTTTTTTTATTTTTTTTTTCTATTTTTGCTTAGTTTCAGACATAGTCCTTGAATATTCTATTTGATTTCGATTTATCATCGGGTCATCCGTCTACATAGTATGAAAATCAGGGTTAAGCCGCCGACTTGCGCGGTATGCGCAGATTTGCCTTGACCCTTTCCAGCAGCTCCTCGCGCGTGGCCTGCTCATTCGGTAGGAGTCCTCTCTGATGGGCAGGGTCAGCGAAATTCAAAACCAGTGTATCAGATCAACATACCGCACGCAGCCATCTTGTTATTTCATCAAGTGTCCAGTTCTCCGGATCTAGTCACTGTTAGCTACTGTTTGCTATCCATGTCAATTTGTGTATACCTCCGGTGGGATCAGCTTGTGCGGGGAGAACATCACCGCCCCAAATGGAAATGGCTGCCACTGCAGTTACCATTCCTGCAAAGCCTGTTTGATCAATTAGATTCGACCGAGTGGCTTGCTTTAGGTTATTTACCAAGTAATAGATTCTATAAAATATCAGCGGTCAAGTAATTTGAAGGATACATGTATACATGTTGGTCGTACCTTGGAGTTCAATGCTCGATCCAAGGGGGTCGGCATCTTGAAGAGTGATGTAATGAACTTTTGGCGCTCGCAAAGAGTTTATCAAGTGGATGTCAAACTCCTAAGTATTGGAAAATGAAAGCAAGGATATTTAAGCTCTTGAAAGGACACGATGCAGAAGAAAAGTATCCAGTAGCAGATGTAGATGTGGTTGCACCGCCACCCACGCCACCCGTTGCTGCCAATCGCGAACTACTATACTGCACCTTCCACCATCAACTCCATGCACATAGAAGTAACCAAAATGGACTTGGAACTTGCTTCAGTTACCTACGCTTCTCCCATTCTATCCCTACGTTCTATATATCTACATCCTCAGTCTATCATCGAACCATGTCCTCGAGAAGGTCGTGATCGACGAAATGGAAGCTGTGATTTTCCTGACCTCTGTCACCTTCATTGTCGCGGTGGGAAGTGCCATTATACAAGGGTATAGTTGGACTCCAATGCAGCGCAATGGCAGAAATTGACATGTTACAGGGTCTCCTTTTGGAAACGCTACCGAGTCCGCCTGCAAGTCACAAGCAAGCCGTTGACTCCAGCTCACTGCGTAGACATGGAGGGCTCAGACATTGAAGCGAACACGCCCATCCAAGGCTCGCGGCCACTGTACTACTCACGGTTGGGTAGTCGGACTCCACGGAGATGGCCGGAGTATACAGATCGACGATTTCAACCAGTCCACTTTGGAAGAGCCATGTCTGACTATTCCTTCGCCCGATTTCAAATCCCCGAGGTCCCAGAAGCCGGGACAATCCATCATATGCCTCTCCACTCTTCGATGATTCCAGCCACACCTCCCCTCTCAGCCACTCCGCTCGCCGCCGCGGCACCTGAGGCACCCATACATGACTAAGCTAGGGCTTCTCCGCACCAAACCCTAAAGTGATCCGCACAATTCACCTTGGAGTCTAGGTCGACAGTGAGCTTCCTCTTTTGTACCTTGCAACCATACACCAACCGTCATCATGCCTGCCGAAGTTTCCGATATCAAGCAGTTCATTGAGATCTGCCGCCGCAAGGATGCCTCCTGTACGTCATGGAGTTCTGGAGAGAGCCGGGGAAGCTGGTGAAGATCGATGCTGACTGTTCCATGTTTAGCTGCGCGCATCAAGAAGAACCGCAAGTCCCAGCAGACCAAGTTCAAGGTTCGCTGCCAGAAGAACCTCTACACCCTTGTCCTGAAGGACTCCGACAAGGCCGACAAGCTCAAGCAGAGCCTGCCCCCTGGTACGTTACGATCGCATCATCCCGCCGCCTGAGCTGTGGAGGAATTCGGCTCCACATTTTTGAAGGATTGGGTTTGGGTCAGCATGGAACCTATGCTGACAGTTACTTTATAGCCCTCAAGGTCGTCGACGTCTCCAAGGGCACCAAGAAGGCCAACTAAATTGGGTGACCATGGAATGAATGGAGGATCGGAGTGCGGCGCGATTGGTTGATGCATGCAAGACCAACTGTTGGAAGGATACATGGCATGGACGTGGTCCTTCTGCGAGCCGACACGGGGATCACTTTGTGGCGTGGAGCATGACTTTCGCGCCGGGGGTTTCTTTGCGTCTTTCAAAACCGGCTGCAGTTCTTCACCGGCTAGACGACTCGCATTTTCTGGGCGCACTCGAGGAATGCTTTTGTCGGAGCTTCCAGTCCCTACACATCAATGAAAAAACAGTTGAAATATCATTACCGGGTTTCTCGCTATCAGTCGAGACTTCCTAATCCATTATTCTGATCTTGGAAGACTTCCAACTCTGGATATTTGCGCAACGCAACAAGTAGATGGTAGTTTGACACAATATTTATCTTTGCACTAGTAAGGAAAAGAACAATTCTCTCGTCAGATTCGCAAACGCTACTACTGGCAATGCTCTTCTACAGCTTCGATCTTTTCCGGCTGGCACTGATTGCAGTCCTATGCTTAGTTCAATCTCATTTCGGAGAATTCCCATGTCTATCCGTCAGAAATGTCTTGTTTGGTATTGATGTTTCAATCGTCCTTGACCACCTTGAAGGTCCTTTGTCGACTGTACTTTCGTGTCAACACAAGGCCTTTGTTCGCCATTGTTCGAAGACAAAGAACTCCATGCCTTCTTGTTATCTTTATTCCTGCAAAAAAAACAGCCCTCTTGACAGGTCTCACCTCAACTATGTAAGGACCACGCAGACCAGCTTTCAAAGATCTCCATCATTATCCTCACAAAAAACCCATCTACTCTTCTGACTACCTAATAACCAATTGCACTTCACGACAGAGACATTGACAGTATGTCTTCCGAGAAAAGCCTCGGCCACCTCGGGGATCTCGGCAGACTTCCAAACGAGCTACTCTGGCAGATCCTGGACCAAGTGGTCATGGATACTCCTAGACTCACCCATGCAGGTATGTGTGGATTGTATTCGCTGATGAAGACAAACCAGGCTAACGGTAAATTTATCCAGGACGGTTACATGACTGACGAAAGGAAGCAGCACATACTCGTGGAGACCAACTCCCTGAGGTGCTATGCTGATCTCGACGACGCCACGGATGCTCTCGGCCAGTCCGAACCTGAGTATGTCGGGGGTGAACCAGGCGAGGAACCCGACCTTTTTACTGGCATCATCAGAGACGACTGTCTTGAATGCTTCGGCGGGATCCTTGGATCTCTTCCCGAGTTTCCGATGATGTGCCACAATGAGAAGGGTTGGTCGTTCTTTGCCGTTGCCGTTGAGGCCAGAACAACGAAAATCCTTCAGCAGTGGCTGGGAGAACCATGGGGGCGAGTCCGGAGACAGCAACGACGGCAACACCAGCAAGAAGAGGACCACCGAGGTAAAGGTACTTCTCCTGCTTGGCGGTTTGTGACATCTGAATTCCCTGCTCACACCAGAGAGTTCTTGTTTAGTAAACCCCACCCTGGGTCCCGTTGGACTATGTCTAATCTCGGATTTGCTGCTGTTTTCAAGGATGCTGACACTTTCACAGCTCTCTTTCAGTACTTGCAGAACACCATGGACCCGACTACTTTCAAGATGACCATTGAGTCGAAATTGACCGACAATGTGAAGGGGGCCATTCTTCAGTTTATGACCCCTGCTCTTCAGAGCATGTTGGACCAGGGTGGTATTGTGATCGAACTGCACCAGAGCTTTTACCACGGTTAGAAGGCTATTATGATAAGATGGTAGTAACAGACTGCCGTACCCCTGGAATCCCGCATACACAATTGGACCCGGGAAACCTTCCAATTATATGCGACCTTCCAATCCTGGAACTCTATTTTACTTATGTAATGATTATATAAGAGCTCTACTGGACTTCGGGAAACTCAATCAACGAGCCCTAATACAACATCTCACATATATTTAGGATACTTCGTATGTTCGCAATTCAATGCAACATCGGTCGCAGTTCTATTTTGATAGCGGTATTTTCGCATATATCACGATTCTTCCTGATCTACGCTTATTTCAAACGAACTTTCATCTTTGTAGTACACCTTGCTAGAAAATTTTAGGTTGATCGAATGAAGATTGATTATCAAAGATGGATGGTTTACTTTTGGAATAAAATAATATTACCAATAACTTACTAGAAATTTAAATCTTAGTCTTGTATAACACACCCAATGCCAACCTAACTCTCACTAATACAAAAGCTTTTATTATCCTCCCCTCTGAGCTTACGTCGAGGAAATTTTATGCCTCTTGGTAGAATTCTATCTTCTAAAACCTACCAGTAAACCCCATCTGTATCATTTTGCTGACCAACAATAGGTCCACAGACCAACTTATCCGGCTCCCTTAATGAGAATTCGCACATCTTCCAAATGTACTTCGACAGCTACCAAATCCACTGCGGTGGCCGCAAACCCACATCATGATACCGATAATCTCGAATACCTGAAGCTTGATGAGATCCGCCACTTCTTCACAGAGTCCGAGCTCTTGGAAGATACATTGAAATAGATGAAGACATGACTTCACAACGGAGACGGTCCTGCTTGCCCAAAGGCAGTGCGGCGGCTGAAGACGCGCCGCCCCAACCTACAAGATCTCGAATATCTAGGCGTTCGTGGGATTCGCCACTTTCTCACAGAGTCTAGGCTCTCTGAACGTACTTCGTTTGGGAGATTACATCCCAACTACCTGATAATAAAGATATACACTACAACGAATTGTACGAAAACAAAGTCCTGATTGGATGAAAGACATATTCTGAGTGCATCGTGGCGATTGAAGAGCTGCCAACGTAACCTCCAGGATATCAAAGGCTTGAAGGATCATGTAGTCTGATACCTGGTTGATGATGATGGTGGGGATGGACTGGGGCAAACATTGAATTTGAATGACCGGTGCACTGGAAATCCCAGTTCAGAATCAGCCGAGGAGCTGATGCTAATGTGGCTTTGACTATATCACAATGAAAGGTGCAGAATCAGCATTAGGTACTTCGGGATAAGATGGGTAGCCTACTACAAGTCACACCTGATATAATGAGGCAGTTGGCAGTTTTGTTGCGGGCGTGATTAACGACACAGATCTGTTACATTTTATCTAGCTCGAATGATACTATCTGATTATGAAGAATAATAAAGTCCACAACTGATATAGTGGTGGGATCTAGAGACTCACAATCCCGGCAGAGCACGACTCGTGATGGTTGACCTCCCAGCTCCCCCTCTCTCCCATCCCATCAAGACCCATCCCATCAAGACTCATTCTCATCACGACTCATTCCCATCACGACCCATCCCATCACGACCCATCCCATCAAGACTCATTCCCATCACGACCCATCCCATCAAGACTCATTCCCATCACGACCCATCCCATCACGACCCATCCCATCAAGACTCATTCCCATCACGACCCATCCCATCACGACCCATCCCATCACGACCCATCCCATCACGACTCATATATAATCTATCACATTCGCGGATGTGTCGTCCACACCACGTATTGTGACAGGGTTAGCCCCTAGGGATTGGTAATATTGAATCGTGAATTGCCGTTGATCATGATATACTAACAACCCAACTAGTTATCCCGATCAATTCATCATGGCGCATCCAGACGAGCGTGAAATCACCAGCTACGAACAGTCTATGCCCGACGAGGACCTAGACTACGATCAGTCACCGATTATATCAAACGAGCGTGAATTCCCCAGTGCCGAGGAACAGGATACAGACCACGATGCTGAGCCGATACGATTCCACTGTGAATTTCCTAATTGTGGACGGTCTTATGCACTGAGGTATACTCTTCTCAGGCATCTCAAAACCCACGGCCAAGAGCGGATCCGATTCTACTGTGAATTTCCAGACTGTGGACAGTCTTATGGCTCCAAATCTGCTCTGTCTCAGCATGTCCAGACAATCCACAATCCAGAGCCGATACGATTCCACTGTGAATTTCCTAATTGTGGACGGTCTTATGTACAGAGGTGTACTCTTCTCAAGCATATCAAAACCCACGGCCAAGAGCGGATCCGATTCTACTGTGAATTTCCAGACTGTGGACGGTCTTACTACTCCAAATTTACTCTGTCTCAGCATGTCCAGACAACTCACAATCCAGAGCCGATACGATTCCACTGTGAATTTCCTGATTGTGGACGGTCTTTCGTACAGAAGTCTGCTCTCACTGTACATCTCAAAACCCACAGTCCAGAGCCGATACGATTCCACTGTGAATTTCCTGATTGTGGACGGTCTTTCGTCTCCAAATTTACTCTGTCCCAGCATGTACAGACAATCCACAATCCAGAGGCGATACGATTCCACTGTGAATTTCCTAATTGTGAACGGTCTTACATACAGAAGAGTTCTCTCGCTAAGCATCTCAAAACCCACAATCCAGAGGCGATACGATTCCACTGTGAATTTCCTGATTGTGAACGGTCTTACACACAGAAGAGTGATCTCACTAAGCATCTCAAAATCCACAATCCAGAGCGGATACGATTCCACTGTGAATTTCCTAATTGTGAACGGTCTTACACACAGAAGAGTCATCTTGCTAGGCATCTCAAAACCCACGACGAAGAGCGAGGTGACTTTCCTGTATTAGAAGAAAATTCAAGAATCCCAATCGACCCGACTCTTCTTGGGGTGGACAAGAACCTGAAAACCTTCCTTATGACACCAGGTATCCTAGCGGACAGCAGCCCACTGCTAGGGCCATTGACACTCTTCGTTGCCCGGGCGTCGTCGGGAAATCACAGTCAAACAACTCAACGACTGGAACGTTCCCTGGCTGAATTGGAGGCAAAATGGATCAGTCATCACGGTCCCATACAGGGAAGCTCACGATATCTTACCATGATAACATCATCAAACGCGATCCCAACCCAGAGAACATTGTATATCCAATCAATAAAAGCCGCGCTATCGCTGCTGACGGTGAAAGGCGTCACAATTGTTTTTACTGGGCATGACGGCCTTTTCACATCACAAGAGGGAAACCGGGAATTCCTCCGTCACTTCAACGCGACGACCGACCTCGAGATTTTCTATCTTGAGAAGGAAAGCAATGAATTTCATCAACTGTGCCCTAAGGTGATGAAAGGATCAAGCAACTGGGATTCCCCATATAGTGATCTAACCACTGAATGGGTTGAAAGGGCCAACCAAATCGGCCAGATCAAGCGTGATCTGGCAGTCACGACACAGGCTCTATCAGATGCAGCGGGAAGGAGGAATAAGTCCAAGAAGCGAAAGAGACAATAAGTCAAGTATCTTGTTGTGACGATTCCTGTATTGTGATTATATTTATACATGTGGTTATATTATCGTGTTTATTTCTATAAATATCGTGATTATGCTCATCCATGTCGGGACTGGTGATTGGTCTTCATTACAATAGTAATATTATTGGTAGTTCCAACGTCGTTTTTGCTCTTCCACCCAATACTTGCCCACCTAGTTAGGGTTAGATCATCGTTTAGATATTGAGTAAGCTTTCTTGAGTGCAACTTACTTTTTCTGCATCTGCTAGCCATGTTCCGGCTTTGTCTCCATGCACTCGTTGTACACTGGTGATCAGCTCGTCCAGCGACCACCCTCGCAATGGAGTCAGTTCATTCGGGTCGGTATCCAAATTTGAGAAGACATATTCGAAGTCTTCATTGAGTGGTAATATAAGTCGATATGGGACAGCCGCGGATCCAACGCTGAGCATTGTGCCGCCGGGGTTGACGATGCCGAAATTCCAGGCCTGTCGGCCATTGTGGGTGGCTTGGTACGGGCGTATAAGCGACTGACCCTCGTATTCGTTCATTAGGTCGAGGGCTGCGGTTGAGTCCATCTCGTTCAGGGAGCCTGTGTTCACGAGTAGATCGAGGATGGTCGGCACGACTGACATGGAAGTTGCATTTGCTGTTATCTGAAGCTTGGGTAATAGAGGGTGTCGGAACAGGAGTGGGATGCGGAAGTTGCTTATATGTCCATTCTCGTAGGTTCCTGATACTGGGGCATCTTCGTTGAATGCCTGGCCACTGCTTGGTGTTAGATCATGACTCCGATATTCATTAGTAGAGGTATATTAGTGCAACTTACTGGTCTCCCACAAAGACGACTAGTGTCTCGTTTGCAATTTCAAACTCATCAAGGACCTTCATCATATCCCCGAGCCAGGTGTCCACGTATCGGACAGCGTTCAAATATTGATTCATGTCTTCATGTTTCGCCATGAGACCGCCTGCAGCAAAATATTGCTCGACTGGATAATCCTTGGGTGTGCCCCATGGGTGATGAGTTGTGCTTGTAAAATGTGACAGGAAAAGGCGTTCGTTGTTTTTGATTGTATTGTTGACCACATCTCTTAGGTATGGGTATACCTCATACTCCGGGTATCTGGTTGGCGTTAGCATACAAAAACCATAAGAACAGTTGAGGGCAGATATGTACCCGAAGTAATTGATCTCCTCCATTCCCGGATGGAAGTGTTTGGCGTCATCTTCCTCAATTTGCTCACGACATATTGATTTCTGGAAGCCCATCTTTTCATTGAGCTTATCTTGGTCATCATACAGTCCTGTTCTGAAGAGGAGAAGGGTTATCACGGTTAACGATCTATTCAACCTCGTGAATATGAAGCAATCTACTCACATCGACTGCAAGAACACAGAAGTCCAGTTGCGATCATGTATGGACTCGAGCCCGCCGTGCGGCCTCTGAAATCTTGGGTTATTTGTTGTCGAATTCTCCTTGAGTTGATTGAACAAGTCAAAAAGCTGCATGATGCACGGCTGATAGTTCTTTGCTTTAACCTCAACCATGAAGTCCACTGGCAGTGGCCCCGTGCCACAGTAATTCATTACTGCACTCTTGAATGACAGAGTACTGCCAGTTAGAATACCATCAATGTTGATTCCGCCCATTCCGGGTGCTGCTGCATTTTCCCATTCAGTAGCTTGAGATCGAGAGATGGTTTGGGACTTCATAAACCCGCCAGATTCACCTGTCAATTTCTCTGCGACTGGTGTGAGGCTTGACAGCTTCTCATTGGCTCCCTGGAGTACTTTAGGGTTGCGGGTGTTGTAAGACGACAAAATCTCTTCGTGCAAGTGTGAGCCAGCTTTGAGAGGAAAGATGTCTTTGCGAGCACTCTCCATCAACACAAGAATAACATGGGTGATCGGAACTTTGTGGTCTTTGAGAGCCCGAGCCAAAGGCTCGAGTATTTCCTGGTCGAGATTCGTGATTCGCAAAGGATCATCCATGGGGCTATAAAAGCTGGGAGTGGTCTGATTTCCGAGAGTGTCATTTTCTCCCGTCTGCCTGATAGGCATTCGCTCATCCCACCGCTCAAATCCTGGTGGCAAATGACCAGAAGACCATGCAGGCGGAGCTCTCGATTCTGACTTGGAATCTGACGTGCCTGGAGCCCAGACTTTGAAATGGCCTTCTCCAACCAGGGCTGCGAGTGGAAATGCATGTTCTCCAGTTTTATGCCCCTGCTTAGGGCTTGCACGCAGCTCTTGGAAAAAGGTAAACGGAATTGCGCCAGACAAGTGGTTGTAAGGTACCTGTGGCCGAGTCAGACGCAGAGTTGCGACTGTGACCGCAGCCATGATAGTCCAGAGTCGAATGGGGCTTGAAGCTGAAGCTTTCCTTGGGGAACTGGGCAGAAGACCCTCTGCGTCTGCGGTCTCGATCGATGGACTGCTAAATAACGCAGAGAACCAGTGATTCATCACAAAATATACTCCATTCTTGAGTAGCCATGAGAGGGTCAGAAGAAGACTCGCAGCGCCCATAAATGACTTCAAGCCAGAGAGGAGCAATCCAACCCCTTCCGGGTCGCTCCCTGCCGCTTTCGCTGCGTCCCAGCGGATTTCGTTGCCTAGGAATTATGAGGACATGGGTTTGCTGAGAATGTATAGAACCATGGAGAGTGTAGAACGAACCAGTTACTAAATAAAAGCCAATTTGAGATGCACATAGGATATAACTCAAGAATCTGCAGCCAGCCATTAGGATTTTAACTTTCTATTTTCAAATGGGATCATAACTTACGTGATGCCCACTGTCACAGCAGTGCCCAGGATAGACTTCAAGCCGGTACATTTAAACAGCAGGACCCAAGCACTTACACACAACAGCGTTTCGAGGATGAAGAATGTCGGAAAGTAAATAACAAAATGAGCTCGTGGGATAGAAGATGCATGCTGAAGCAAATGAAGCCCTTTGGACAGCCCAACACACACTGCTAAGAGCGAGAAAAGCAGGCGTATGGATGATTGGCGTGTGATGATCATGGTGATGGATAGAAAAAGATCAGGGCCATGACTCTAAGGGGTTTCGGACTGGACTTGATCTCGAAAGAATTGAGAGAGTGGAAGAAATTAATACGTCTTTGTCTACAGATTCTTAACTTATACCATTACAGATGCGGTGGATTTGGGTGTTCAACTGAAAGCGGCTCGATTGTGTATATAAATAAGCTTTCTAGGGATTATAGTAAACACCCCTGCCCCGGATTCTCCTTTTGAAAGAATGAGAATTGGAAGGAAAAAGGAAACAGGAAAAGGACCCTTTGGACCAAGCCAAGCCTAGCCTGTCTCTTGTTTCAGTTTCTTTGAGAGTGGTTTCTCTCAGAATGTTTACTTATTTATCTTACTAATTCAGCCCTGAGCATCTCGTAATTTTTTTTTTAATTATGTAAATATTATAGTGAAAGCTGAAAACGCAAACAAGGTAGCGTGACCACCTGCTGGATTGGGACGGTAGGTCAGCATTCCTAAGCCTACGGAATGTTCCGACCTTGGAAGGGGGTCTTCTTTGCAATGTTAGTACGTATTGCGAAGATTACACTCCTAAGTGATATTTAGGTTAACTTTTTGTGGTGGGCACATAATAAATGGGCCTCCTTCCACTTACTTAACCTCTTAACCCTGTAGTGGCGCATGGAGCTAGGTCCACTTGATCTCTAGCTAAGCTTTTCTAGCCATTCAACTTTTTCAACAACACTCCTAGGTAAGGACGCCGAGCAATAAACAGCGTTAACGGTCCTAGCGGTAGGAAGTTGTTAATTAGCGGAAAAGAGAGGAAAGGAGAAGATAAGAAGAAAAGAAGATCGTAAGTACAATGAACCCTTTTATAGTATTTCCTATAGTAAGATCCTAGCGTCATAGGCTATAGATTCTTTCATGCCCCTAGTTTACATAATATTTATGGTTAGCCCGAGGCACTCGAAAATCGGCCAAAAATAATGCGCAAAACGGTATACTCGCTTCGAGGTTTCTTGTACTGTTTAAAAGTTATCAGTGGCGCTATTGACACACTCATGACCCCTTTTATAATTCTAGCTATAGTCCGTATGCTTTTACTCTTACCAGATACTACAAGCTCTCCAAAAGCAGCGTAAGGGGTTTGATAAACGATGTTAAATTTCTTGGGAGAAAAGGCGTACATGATATGATGGATTAACGTTACAGGAAACAATCAATTCATACCTAGAACGTAAACCATGACAACACTGCGTTACAGAAAGGAGAACATAGAACTTCATCATACCACCAGCTCTCCACTTTTTTTATGGTATTTCATTTCCAATATCCACTCTCGAGCAACCAGAAAAACATCACATCGACCTGCAAAGCTCCAACCCTACTTGTTACCACGCATGTACCCATCCCACCACTTCGAGAACGGACCGCCCTTGGCAGCCTGCTCATTCCAGCTCGCACGACGAGTAGCCATGTCGGGGCTTGTAGAGTCCCGTTTCTGGGATTGCAGGTTGGCGAAGAGACCACCGCCAGAGCTGGCGCTGGAGCGACGTCGTTCGCCGAGGCTTGGGATTGTTGGGGAGGTGGGTGAATTGGAGTTATTTGAGGTTGTTGAGTCCTTCATTTTGTTGTTAGAATTTTGGTTGGTTTGATGTAGACGTTGGTGTAGATAGTATAGTAAAGTAGAGAATATTGTGGTCTTGTATGGTTGGAGGGGTAGAAGGGGAAGGATAGTGAAAGTGGGTAGGGTAAGATGGTATAAAAGGGAAGATGACATACTTTTCTACCAGATGGGGACTCCGTACCAGGCATCATAGCCCAAGGAGCGCGTGAACTGGGAGCCTTCGCTCCACCCTGTCCCGTTCTTCAGTCTCTCGTTTGGCTCCAGTCATTCTCTATCGTGTACTCACATTCATCCAAACATTGAGCCTAAACCCCGATTCGTTAGTTTAGTTTAGCTAGTAAAAATAGAATTCTAAGCTCACTGTTCATGTCTGTCACCGGCCGTCCCGTGCCAGTGGCGGCGAGTTTTGTCGTCAGACATCAAGAATAAATGACTTCGATCTTGTGGAGAGAGAGAAATGCCACCCTATATCGAGGCGGAGGGATCCGTGGTTGGGGTTGGGGTTGGGGATAGGGATGATGTATGTCCTTTGCAAGAAATTAGTTAGATAAGAAGAGAAGAAAAGGTCCTAGGGAAGTTGTAAGAAAGCCAAAGCCCGGAAAAAGTGAGATGCACAGTAATAAAGTCAACGACGTCATTTGCATCCGGTGGTTTGGATTACCTTTTGTGATTGGATTAGATGAGATGGGATTCAGTTGTAGATAGGAAGAGGACAAAGAGGAAGAGAGAAGAGAGAAGCGAAGAAAAGAGGGGAAGATGGCTTATAAAAGGTCGCGTGGTAGTATTAAGAGGTATTTAACATTAACGTTAACATCTCGCATGTTACATGTATATCACCTAACTCAGTAGCTGAGCGATAAATCCAAGTATTATAAACAATCCAATCACTTCTCTGTGGTAATATGAAATAAATCCAATCCTGATTGACTCTCTAAACCCCCATCTAAGTCATAATCCCTGCCGACATGATGTACGTATACAGTGGAGATGTTGACGTAGTGGAAATGCGGGGAAAGCTTACGGCAAATCAGCCGAATCACTTCAATCTATACATAACCGACTACTACCTATTCTCTACCTCCTACAACCTCGTCTTCCCTTTATCAGCATCTCTCAATCTCTTCCAAACCCTAACACCCTCCTCCCAATTCTCATCCTCCCAAATAACCACACTTCCATCCCCCTTAAGCGTCCTAACACTCCTCGGCCCACAAGTGCCCCACCCAAACTCACCACCACCACCCAACTTAACAAAAGAACTCAAAGGACCGTTAAAAGCCCTCTCAACAACCTCCTTCTCCCCCTCCTCCAGAACCTTCCCATTCCCCCAAAACCAAATCGGATAATCCGAAGAATGCGTAACCCCCCACTCAACCGGAATAGTAGCATCAATACACTTCGCCCTCCACTCAATGCGATACCGATACAACAACCGTGACGCATCAACACCCGCCGTGTTATGAGTCAGCGTATACGCGAACCCGCGCTGCATAAAATGCACCTGCATATCTGCGTAACAGCGTCCCCAAGCATCGACATCCCAATTCTTGCAGTTGGCTGGTAGTTTCCCGTCTGGGTAGTACATCGCCATGAGAGCGTCGACGATGTGCTCTGGGTAATCGGCAATAAGACGGGTTCGCAGTGCGGAGAGTGTGTTTGATTTTGGTGGGAACCAGGTATTGTATAAAAAGTGCTCGTCTGCACATTCTCCGATAATTACGCGAATGTTGCGGCTTAGGAGGGTCGATGCGAAGCTTCCGTTGTCGAGGGAGTCGAAGAGGGTAGGGCTTATGAAGGATCCATCGGTTGTTGGCCGGAATTGGTGTAGGGATAGGGTTTTTGTTATAGATATTAGGGTCTTTGCTGGGACTGAGCGAAGACGGTAGATTTTCTCGCTGGCCGGTAGGGAGAGGGGGATGTTTAAGGCTGTTAGGAGCTCGTTGAATTGGGATTGGGTTTCTGTTGGTTGTTTTGGTTGTACTGCCGGACTGTTAGACCAGATGCAGACTTGTCGGACTAACGCTTTGGAGGCTGGTTGGCGAAGATCGTAGGCTAGTTGGTGGAATACGGAGTTGGCGCCTTGTATATGTTAGTTGTATAACCCTAGAAGTAGAGAGAGAATGCTCACCAGCACTATAGCCACTGATAGTGATATTGGCTGGATCACCCCCAAACAGACTGGCGCTCTCACGAGTCCATTCCAGTGCCAGCCTCTGATCCCAAAATCCATGGTTGCCAACAGACTCCCCAACAGATGCCGCATCAGCCTCCAGCTCAGCCGAATACAAGAACCCAAAGAGGTTCACCCGGTACGCAGGCATAACAACCACACACTTGAAATCCGTCTCGCCAATCAACGCAGCAGCGTTGAACGAATTGGGAGTTCCGAATTGGAGCCAGCCGCCATCTACCATCGTCCATCAAACGTTAATCAACATAGCTCCAGTAAGATGTAGCGTACTGGGTAGGGTAGTTGATACTCACGAAGAAAAACGAAAACAGGCCATCCTCCCTCAGGAGGCTCCCCAATCGGAACCCAAACATTACACTGGAAACAATCCTCGTCCCAAATATCCGGGTTCTCAGGTGAGAGGTTCAGGAATCCGGGTTGGGGACATACGCCCGCACCAGTTGTGCAATCTCCCGGGTTCTTGTCTGTGCCGTAAGTATATGTATCAGGTAAGGGCTTTGCACGGCGCCAGCCTGAATAAAGCAGTCAGTACTGTTGCAGTGCCGCATCGGTCCGAGTAGGGTCTGTTCTCACGTTCGGACACTGGAAGGCCGTAGCGAACTCCGCCGTAGTAGGTGCATAGATCTTTATTTTGGTTGTTGGAGATAATTAGGCCTTGGATTGTTCCTCTGTGGCCGAGGGATTTTGCTGTTTTTCGGGTTGTTTGCATTTTAAATTGCTTGGTTGTATAGATAGCTGTGTTGGTGTATAGATATCTCAAGCCTCGAATTCCCTCAATACTCAAGCTAGAAACGAAACAGAAACAGGAGCACGAACAAGGATAGGAACAACGGGTTCTTTATCTCTCCTTCAGATCAGCTTATCGGTGCTTAATTCCGCTGTTCCGCGAATGTAGCCGAGCTCGGCAATCTTGAGTTCGTAATTGGTGAATGGACTGTTAGGGAGCGCGGGCGTTGTGCTTGTGAGGAGGTGCTGTAAGGGTTGCGTGGAGTTGGATCCACACGGGGCTACTTCTGGGTTCCTATCTTGCCGATTATGAGGGGAACATGCAGATCTATTGGTAAAATGTAAAGAATAATATTCAAAATGGCAATTGCCAAAATTCCATAAAACGAAAGCCCAAAAACAAAAACGCTTGGAAATCATTCAAATCGCATCACGCATCACAAGTCGTGCATGGTCTTGGTACATAGGACTTTTACGCCTTGCTGATCCTGCAGACCAGGTCCTGGCCATCGACAGAGTCACCCTCCTTAACTTGGAGGCTGGAAACCTTTCCGCTGTGGGGGGCGGAGATTACCATTTCCTATTAGATGTGTTAGTAAGATATTCATTTATACAAGACTGAAGAAAAACTCACCATCTTCATGGCGCTCAGCACCGCAATAGGATCACCCTTCTTGACCTCGTGGCCGTCGTGGATGCGAATCTCAACCACGACACCGCTCATGGGAGCGCCAACTTGGCTGCTGTCCGAGGCGTCGGCCTTGGGGCGGGCAATGTTGTCGATCGAAGCCTTGTTGTCGTCGACGCTGACCTGGCGGACTTCACCGTTGACCTCGTAGAAGACCTCGCGCTGGCCGGTCTGCTCGGACAGAGGACCAATGGCGAGCAACTTCAGGATCAGCACCTTACCCTTCTCGAGCTCGACGTTGAACTCCTCGCCAATTTCAGGGCGGGCCAGGAAGTAGCGAGTGGGCAGCACAGAGAGGTCACCGAACTTGGCAACGAACTTGCGGTAGTCCTCGAAGACCTTGGGGTACATGGCGTAGGAGGCGACGTCGCATTCGGTGGCGGCGCCGAACTTCTCGCGGATCTCGGTTCTGATCTTGGCGAGATCCATGGGCTCCAGGTACAGACCGGGGCGCTTGTCGAGCTTGCGGCGGCCGCGAAGGGCCTTAGTACGCAGGGGCTCGGGGAAGCCGCCGTACGGCTGGCCCATCAGACCCTCGAAGAATTCAAGCACGGAGCCGGGGAAGTCTAGCTGGTCGGCACGCTCGAGAATGTCCTCGGCGGTGAACTTGTTACTGACAATCCAGGAGGCAAAGTCTCCACAGACCTTGGAGGAGGGAGTGACCTTGACGATGTCGCCCAGCAACTCGTTGGCCACCTCGTAAGCCTTCTTGGTCTCGGCCCACTGCTGGCCGAGACCGAGCTGGCTGGCCTGGAAGATCAGGTTGGTCAGCTGCCCACCGGGGATCTCGTGCTGGTAGACCTCGGGGTCGGGACCGGTCAGACCAGCCTCGAAGGGAGAGTAGAGCAGACGGAGCTGAGCCCAGTAGGTGTCCAGGGCGCGGACGTGGTTCAGGTCCAGCTTGGGGTCGTGCTCAGTGCCTTGGAGCGAAGCAAGGAGCGCACCAATGCTGGGCTGAGAGGTCATACCAGACATGCTGTCGGTAGCGGCATCGACGGCGTCAGCACCGGCCTCGGCACAGGCAATCATGGAAGCGACACCAGTTCCGGCAGAGTCGTGGGTGTGCACGTGGATGGGGAGATCGGGGTACTTGGCGCGAATGGAGCCGATCAAGAGACGGGCAGCCTGGGGCTTCAACACACCAGCCATATCCTTGATACCAAGGACGTGAGGACGCATGGCCACAATCTTCTCGACCAGACCCATGTAGTAGTCCAAGCTGTACTTCTTCTTCGGGTTCAACATGTCACCACTGTAGCACATGGTGGCCTCGACGACACCACCAGCCTCGTGGACAGCCTTGACACCAACCTCGAGCTGGTCGAGATCGTTGAGAGCATCGAAGACACGGAAGATATCGACACCGTACTTCTTGGCCTGCTTACAGAAGTGGTAGATGGCGTTGTCAGGGAGAGAAGAGTAGGCAACACCGTTGGCGCCACGCAGCAGCATCTGGAAAGGAATGTTGGGAACAGCCTTGCGCATCTTGCGGAGACGGTCCCAAGGATCCTCGTACAGGAAGCGCATGGCCACATCAAAGGTAGCACCACCCCAGCACTCGAGCGAGTATGCGTTGCTCAATGCGTGGCTGGTCTCGTGGGCAATGTTCAGGAAATCGATGGTACGCACACGAGTGGCAAGCAACGACTGGTGGGCATCACGCCAGGTGGTGTCCATAATCAAGCAGCCCTTGTTAGCGCGCACAGCACGAGCAAAGGCATCGGGACCCTGGCTGTCAATGATCTGCTTCCAGCCCTTGGTGCAGGGAGCGGAAACATCCAGAGGCTTGCCAGCGGCATCCTTGAGGATAGGATTAATGATTTCGCCCTTGAACTTGGGCTCACCAATCTGACCCTTGATGCTGCTGCCGTTGACAGCAACATCACCCAGGTAAGCGAGCAGCTTCTGGGCACGGTTCTGGCTGCCGACGAGGGTGAACAGCTCGGGGGTGTCATCAATGAAGGTAGTCCAGCAAGTGCCATCAATGAAGGTAGGGTGGCTCAGCAGGGAGGCCAGGAAAGGAATATTGGTCTTGACACCGCGGATACGGAACTCAACCAGCGCACGCAGCATCTTACGGCGGACAATCTCGTAGGTGGAACCACGGCAACTGCACTTGACCAACATGGAGTCGTAGTGGGGACTGATAATGGCACCAGCAAAGCCGTTACCACCGTCGAGACGAACACCGTTACCACCGGCAGACCGGTAGACCTCGATCTTACCAGTGTCGGGAGAGAAGCCCTTGGAGGGGTCTTCAGTGGTGATACGGCACTGGATAGCGAAACCGCGAGTGGAGATGCGGTCCTGGGTCAGACCGAGCTGCTCCAATGTAGCACCAGCAGCGATCTGAATCTGTGCAGCGACGAGATCAATTCCGGTAATCTCTTCAGTAATAGTGTGCTCGACCTGGATACGAGGGTTGATTTCAATGAAGTAGTAGCGGTTCTGCTGGTCAACCAAGAACTCGGCAGTACCAGCGTTGCGGTAGTTAACCGACTTGGCCAAGCGGACAGCATCCGCAAGGATCTTATCGCGGACATCGACAGGCAGATCCTTAGCAGGAGCAATCTCGACGACCTTCTGGTGACGACGCTGAACGGAGCAGTCACGCTCGAACAGGTGAACAACATTGCCCTGGTTATCACCGAGCAACTGAACCTCAATGTGCTTAGGCTTGTCCAAGAAGCGCTCCACGAAGACAGTGCCGTTACCAAAGGCAGTGCGGGCCTCGGAAGTAGCACGCTCGAAAGCGTCACGCAGCTCGCCCTGATCACGCACAACACGCATACCACGACCACCACCACCAAAGGCGGCCTTGATGATAATGGGGAAGCCGTAGTTGTCGGTGAAAGACTTGACCTCCTCGTAGCGCTCAACGGGGCCTTCGGTACCGGGGACAACAGGGACGTTGCACTTGATAGCGGCGCGGCGGGCAGAGACCTTATCACCCAGGGCGTCAATGGTATCGGGACTGGGACCGACGAAGACGATACCGGCCTTCTCGACGTTGCGGGCGAACTCGGCGTTCTCCGAAAGGAAACCGTAACCCGGGTGAATCAGGTGCACGCCGTGCTCCTTGGCAATCTTAATGATCTCATCACCGGCGAGATAGGCACCGACGGGGGTGTACTGGCCGCGCTGACCGATCATGTAGGCCTCGTCGGCCTTCTGTCTGTGCATTGAGAGACGGTCCTCGTGGGAGAAGACGGCTACCGTCTGGAGGGACAGTTCGTGTGCGGTACGGAAGATACGAATTGGGATTTCACCACGGTTGGCGACTAGGATCTTTTGGAAGTGCATGATGGTGGAATTGGCACGGAGACGACGGTGGACCGAGTCCTGGTGGTGCTCCAGGTGGTCCTCGATGAACTCCGAATCATCGATAGCATCCTCTGGCTGGCGGTGGGAAGCCATTGTGAGAGATGGAAAGAGGTAGATTGGTACGGAGTACTGGCGAGGTTGAGTGGAGGAACCCAGATAGCTGCGGAAGCGGTGACTCACTATAGAGGAGGGAGCTCTCCGGATCTAATCCAAGGCCGATCTCGGCAGATCACGGCGCAATTGCTGGAGAGGTCAGAGATGTAGGGAGTAGGAATGGAGATAAATGGTAATAGCGTGGAATAGAAGTAACAGAGAGTTTGAAAGTAAAATATAAAAAAAAAGGAAAGAAAAGAGCAGAGGGAGGGGCAGTTAAAGAGGGGAATCACAGGCGCGATCTGCATGTCACAGATACTTTCCGGGGGGAGCGACTTGACTCCAGGAATGAGGTAACAAGTACTTACGGGCTCACCGGTACACCGGGAAACCAGTTCCCAAGGAATAGAAGTAATGGAATAGAATAATCAAATCGAAAAATGGAATCGAATATCCGAACAGGCTATTAAAAATTAAATTTATTGTCTGGGGACTATTCTCTTTATGTGTCTCTCCCTAACCACCCCGATGATCTCATACCTCCACGATAACTTCCCCAGCCCATCGGGTTCTTTAGGTAAGTCATTCCGCATGTCAACCTCGGGCCCTCGGGAGTCTTTCTGGATTCTCTATTTCTCTCCTAGATCCCTTCGATACGGATATTCACGGGAAACTGGAGATCCGGGGGAGACTCGGAGAACTCTCGTCATGTGCAGGAATGTGGATCGGACCAATGACATGCGATGAATGGCAATTCCCACATCCTCAAGAGTTGGCCTCGGGGAAGATATCGCCGAGCATATTCTCGGGTGGCCATACCGTAGTTGATTCCTCTGACTCAATTGAGTACGGGAGTCCTGAAAAACTGTGCTGGGTCATGTGTACCAAATCTCTAGAGGAAGGGATCAACTCTTGGCTCCGATACTTGACCGGTTCCATATCCGTGACGCTATTAGATTTGTACTAACTACCAAGTTACTTCCACAAGTTTTCCCCCCTTACTCTAGCTCTTACTATACTCCTCCCCTTGGCATTCCGGTGATCTCCCGCTGGATCGCACAAGTATGACAGGTGCACAGAGAGCAACCTAACAAGCCAAGAGCGCGGTTTCCCGCCAAGCGCTTATATACACCGAGCGCTCCACTGATTACATTTTCCACATATCCCTCCCTGCATCTAGGCAATCTAGGCGTCTAGCATTTGGCATGGATCAATCTGACAATGCAACATCAACGCAATTGCAGTGCCCGGAGACTCAACCGCACCCGTCTTGGCTGAACAATCACCGCCAACCTGCTTATCTCCCAGCTTGCGAATTCCGTGCCATCAACGCGTCAGCGTCTTTTGTTATTCCTTTTTTCTTTGCATTGCATCTTCCATGTCTCCGACGGAAAAATACACAGCCATTGATTCCTCCAGTAGCCCGTCCCGCGTGCTTTCCTAGCTTAGCTCTCTCCAGGGGGTAAAGTATCGTCCGGGGAATTGATATAGCCGGACCGAGGTATGAACTAGAGCGAGAGATGGAGATAGAGCTATAGACAATAATAGTCGAATTATCGAATATACTACTTGGCTATAAACAAACGATCATCACCTGGAATATGAAACATGCTCACTTGGCCAGAACCAAGAGGAGTGAGTGGGGCAGGAAACCCTGGAAGGAGCATGTAGCATGTCATAACCTCCCACCAATAGAAACCATCCCCCCGGCCTCATGGGCTTGATAAGAGATGAAGAGGTTGGGCGATCTGTAATGCTCGCCTCGCTTTAATGGGAGTCGATGGTTGCAGGTGACCGTGCAGAGGATTTACATTGGCGGGCTTGGCGGGTCGACCGCATTCTTCACCGAGCCCTGAATGTCTAATGGATCTGCCTAGGCGAAGCTTGGCAGCCTCAAGTTTGTGAAATAATTGGAATTACGGTGGTAGTACGGAGTACAAGGGAGAGGGAGAGCGGGGAGGGAGTGGAAGGGAGGTGGAAATGAAATGAAACGAAAGGAAATCGCAATGCTATTACGGAATATTGAGCCATAGCCCGGTCTAGCACCAAATACTGTGTAGAAAGCAAAGACTATCAAATACAATTCGAAAGAAAAGAAATCAGAAAACAAAATTAACGAGGTCATGAATATCCTCCTATGAAACACACCGCCCTATCCTCCCCATGTCATGTCGTATCTTTTGCAGCCCATCATCTTCGCTGTATGTTACAAATGCAAAAGTAAAAGGGAATCGCTCGCACTCTAGAATCCGCGGTAGCCGGTGGCCTGAGGTGTCAGACCATTGGACTGGTAGGGCATGGGGCTGCCGGGGGCGGGACCCTGAGTCAGCATAAGCCGTGAGCCCTGCAGGATGGGTGTGTTATCCTCCTCAGTGCGAGTGGACTTCTCGCGGTTCTTGCGCTCCTCGTTGTCCTTCTTGAGCATCTCAATGGAGCGCGTCTGCTCGCAGAGGAAGTTGATCATGTAGGGCATGGTGAAGTCGTGCAGGCCCTTGCGCCATGAAATCTCCATAATGACATCTGGGCGGATGAGGTCGTAGCAAGCGTATAGCATGCCAACATAGCACTCGCGGCTGCCAATATCGACGAACTGTGGAGCGTTAGTGGTAGCTCAGAATAGAATAGGGAAAAAAACTTACGTAGCGTAGCAGATCCTCCACAACATCGGCCTTAGAAGAGATTGCAGAGGTCTCAATGGCATCCTTGTACAGCTTGTCCTGCTTGGACAGAGCGATAGACTTCTCCCAGCGCTTGTTGTTGCGGTAGATGTTGGCCGCAATCTGGCGGAAGAAGATGAGGTCGTGCTTCTCGAGGCGCTGGGCCAGGGCAACAGCATCGAAGTTGTCGTTCTGGTCAACAGAGTCCTTCAGCAGCTTGTTATCCTCCTCCTCAATCAAAATCTCGTTAATGGCATCGTTGACAGCCCGCTTGTTCTGGGACTGAACGTTGAGCAGGAAAGGCTTGATCAGAGGGATGTTGTCGGAGCTCTGGAAGATGCGGACAACACGGTTGACGTCAATACGGGGAGTCAGGACCTGGAGGAGATCGGTGAGCAGAAGAGGCTGCTCCTGGAGGTAGAAGTTCAACGACCGGTAGTAGATCTCCAAGTTGGCAACCTTGACGATGATGTCCTTGAAAGAGTGGTGCTCCCAGGCATCGGTGGAACGCTCCATCATGGAAAGAGCAGCGTTGTCCCACTCATCGTAGTGGCAGTACAGGAACACCAGCTCGGGCCAGAGGTGAGCCTCCTCGGTGGCACGGATCATCTTGGGAATGTTGATGCGAGACCAGAACAGCTTCAGGTGCTCCATGACACGGTCGGGGTGGTACTTGGACAGAGCAATGCCCAACTCAGTGAACATACCCATGTGAGCACGCTCGAGACCAAGACCGGCCTCCAAGACAGTGATGAGCTCGTCAAAGTATCCATTGCGCTCGTACTGGCGGACAAGGCTCTGCAACTCCTCGGCGTGGACAATGAGATTGAGACCACAAATCTGAGCAAGACGGAACTCCTTCTTGTCAACACAGGCCTCGTTGACCTGCTTCCAAACCTTGACGCTGTTGGCCTTGCGGGCACACTCAACGGCGGCCTGGTAGTCCTCAAGGTGAACAAGAGTAGTCGCCAGCTTGGCCCAGTTGGAGATGCTGGTGTAGAAGATCTTGGCCGCGTGGTGGTATCCCTCGGCGTAGGCCTTATCACCAGAAGTCTCAATGTCGGCAACGTTGGTGGAACGAAGGAAGTCCTCAAGCTCAGCAAGCTGGTCAAGACGAGCGAAGCAGAAGGCAAGAGCAGTATCAATGGCGGGCTCACGCAAGGTCTTGCGGGCCATGCGGAGGAACTTGACAAGATCCTCATCCTTGCCGGCATGGGTGGCGGTCTCAATCACCTCGTTGTAGTTGGAAGGATCCTCGGCACGGATGTAAGACTCGATCGAGTCAGTGACACGGAGACCATCCAGCTGGGCCTTGGCAACCTTGCTCCACACCTCAGGCAGCTCGACGCGCTCAGCGAACTCTTGAGCCCGGTCGATACTGACAATATTCTCCACAAGGACGTTGACGGCAGCCAAGGGGTTGTTGACCTTCTTGTAGATCTCAAAGGCCTCCTCGTACAGGCCAACGCTGATGCACATCTCGGCAATCTCATCGGCGGAGAACTCATTGAGCTGGTGGATGTAGTCCATCAGGCGGCTCTTGTCAGCCTTTGCAGCGGTCAACATCAGGAGGTTCTGCAAGCTGGCGTTGTCACTGAAAGGCGAGGGCTCCAGAATGATCTTCTCGAGCAGCTCAATCAGCTCACCAGGAAGGTCGGCCTCGAGGAACGACTTAACTGCCACGGACACTTTGTCGGGCTCAGTGGACTCGGGAACCGCAGTTGCGATGACCTGGTCAACAAGGGAGCGACGGCCCTCGTTGTTCTCGCTGAGAACGAAAGACCAGATCTCAGGATCGGCACGCTCAACAAGGTAGCGGGCCTGGGCGCGGTACATGGAGTTCTCGTTGGTGATGCTGATGAGCTCCAGGTCATTCTGACCCTTGCGGTAGGCAATGTAGGCCAGGTTGGGATCACGCTTCTCGCAGTACTTTCCAACAGTCAGGGTGTCGTACATGTCGTTCTCCTTCAAGAACTTCTCGGGGTCGTTGTTGCTGTCAATGTAGATCTTCGCAAGAGCGTTGTAGACAGCCTGCTGCTGGTTGCCAGTAGCAAGGGTAGCCTCGAGGAAAGGCAGGAGCAGCTTGAGACGGTTGCGGGTTTCGACCTCGGAGACGAGCTCATCGATGGGGATAACGGAGGGGTCGACGGTAGAAAGCAAGTTCTTGATAATGCTCTCATCGCAGTCAACATCCAACAGGCCACCAACAACGGCAGGGGCACGCGAAGGGTTGACACGCTGCACATAGACCTCAATGGACTTGAACTGCTGGTTCTGGTACAGGTAGAGAACCAAGTCGTGGATGAAGTTGTAACGGTCGCAGACGATGATTAGAGGCAGCTG